TTGGCGAGATAAGCGTGTATTGGCGAAGAAGAAGAGTTAAAAGAAGAAAAATCATTTTCTTATGTTGAGATCTAATAAAAGATGTTACTCATCATATTTATTTTTAGAAGTTATTAATTTCCACCTTTATTAAGATTCATATACAATTCTTCTTTTCTTTTTCGTACGAAGATCGAATAAGTTGAACGTAATTTTTAAATGGTTCGCAATTTAAAAAAAAAAAAAAAAATCTGACTCGTTTGATGTTTTGTTGAAATTAGCATGAATTAAGAGATATACCGTCGCATAGCATTGCAAGTATGTAATTATTATTTTATCAGCGAGTGAACATTAATGAAGTGGAATCGATAAACGTTGAAGGCGATATACGATCGGTATAAAAATGAATCACGTCGTTGAAAACGCAAGTAACACTTATTAATATTCACAATGTATGTCGATCGACATGTATAAGTCCAGTTAATGCAACCGTGAGAAATCAACGTGCATCAGATTAAAAACAACAATTATACATGCATACATTTAACTGTCGTGTAGTTTAAAACAGTTAAACAATTGAGAATTTATTAGATGGATAAAACTGATGCATATTTTTATAGAAAATCTATAAAATATCAATTATAAATCAATTAGATGGATAAAACTGATTTATAGAACATATTTTTATAGAAAATCGATGTTTGAAAGATTTCTTAACTTTCACTTATATTGTTTATTTAGATAATATAAGCTTATAGTTGTATGAATATTATATCATTTTTTAAAATATTATATTATCTTATATTAATATTAATGTCCATTTTTATTTAATTTTTCCAATTTATTTTCAAGACAATTGGCCTCCTGCTGTAGTTTTATGGAAATATAGGCGTGCATGAAACAAAGGAATTAGTCTCAATTGAATTAAAAGGTCACGTTAAAACGTTAAAACTTGTTTAGCTTAATTATCCACACGCGGATCATATTAACTTTGGCGCCGTTGTTGTGTAAAATTTTGCTAAACAATTTCACATGTACATGGTTTGCAATAGTATGTGTATGCACAATCTGATTTCTACTGAATCTATGTGCTTTCAATATTCAAAGCTTTTTCTAGAATGAATTTTTAGTTTAACAAATATAATGATTTGCAAAAAATATGTCTTAAATTGTAAAAAAGGGACACAAGTTAATGATGAAATTTGTATAAAATACGTGAAAAATATTTGTTATAAAATTTGTTTTAGAAAAAAAAAAAAAAGGAACGTAATCTTTTCTAGTTGGAAGAGAGAAATGTTACGATGATCCGCGTCTTGATGTTTTCGAATTAAGATTAGGATGGGTGATTTAAGAGTTCATTGGCGCTCAGATTCTCAAGGTTAGGCCTGCCTCTGTGTGGACGATATTTTTGGGAGAAGAGAAATTTTTACTAAAATTATTTGACCCCGGTGGCCAACGTCCCTCTGGACTCTTGCCTCCTCTGTTGGCTCTAATTTTAACGAAACCGTGATTCATAAACGATGGATAGGTTTTACAAACGTTCGCACACCATATGAATTCTTGTTTCTATCTCTCGTGCTTCAGGTTCCTCTATTTTTGATTAGTCCTTCATTATGTTTGTTATAAAAAAATATTTATGTTACTACAAATTTTTTTCTTTTTTTTTATTAAATATTACTACAAACTTGTGAATATTACTACTTTTCTTGACTTGACGAAATTAACTACTTTTTAATTCTAATCGAAATGTGAATCTTTGTATTTTTTTTTTTGGAGCCCTGAATTAATAAAAAAAAAAAATTATTAATATCAACATCACTCTGGACATTAGTTTAGTGTTTAATATTTTATCCGAAATAAAAGTATTCTATTAAAATAAAAATATCATTTTCTAAATAAATCATACTGTTATCCAATTTTATATTATTCGTATAACTATAATGCAACCTTGGTCACGGCCTCTAAAATGAAGTGTCACCCATTCGCATCTCGGAAATTACAATTGATTAACGCTTGCTAATTATTCGTTCGAAATGTAGAATCATTTTAACACCATCGAAAGAGATATCTGTCTATTATTTCTTGTTCGATTTATAATTAAAAAAAAAAACGAAGCAAAAATGGAACAGAAAGAAATGTTAAATTTGTGCACGCGCGTTAAAATTGAACAATGATCCAATTGTATTTTCGGCAATAATGTGTTATTATTTGCTTTTCAATGAGATATGTAAAAGGAGACCGATGAAAAATAATAGGAAAATTTCCGAACTTGGAAACATTAATATTACCAAAGTAGTATAAATACATCATTTTTTTTTTAATTAATTCAAGTTACGAATATCTTATTTTTAAGTCATAAATATTTTGTGAAGTCCTTTTATCTCTTGCAATCTTTTTGATATCAAAGTTTTTTATATTAAAATATTAATGGAACTGTTTTTTTTTTTTTTT